GCTGCAGCAGCAGGGCAGTACGGGGAAGACAGCCCGGAGGCGGAGCTGAGCAGCAGCAGCAGCAAAAGAGTGACAGTGAGAAGCAAGGAGCGTGCTGCTCGCAGGTCTGCTGCAGCAGCACTGATGCTGTATTTGCTGCTGAACATCGTGGTGGAGCTGCTGCAGCTGGTGGAGGGGCCCCGGGGGGCCCCCCAGGCCATTAAGGACAAGCCGCTGCTGCTGCTGCTGGCCATTGCTCCCCGAATTCTTTTTGCTGCTGCAGCAATTAACTTTTTCATTAAGTGGGTTCGCTGGCTGCACCGGTTGTTCGTGCGGCTGTTCAGTTCGGGGGAGTCCGAGGGCAGCAGCAGCAGCAGCAGCAGGCGGCGGCGGCAGCAGCAGCGAGCAGCAGCAGCAGCAGCGGGGGGCGGCAGGCGAGACAGTTAGAAGCAGCAAAACTTCCAGAGGCTTCTTTTTTAGTCTTCTGAACTGGCAAAGCGACCCACAGAAGCCCAAAAGTACCCTCTTAAAGGGGGGCCCCCAAGACTCCAGGGGGCCCCAGGTGAGGGGCCTCCAGGCCAGGGGGCCCCAGGTCAGGGGGCCCCCTGTTCAGCGGGCCCCCAGGTCAGGGGGCCCCCAGATCAGGGGGGCCCCCTTTTGGGGAGGAAAGATTGAAGCAAGCAGGGGGCCCCATTTAGGGGCCCCCCCAAAGCATAGGGGGCCCCCTTAAGTGCAAGGGGGGCCCTCTCAAGGGTTTGAAGCCTTCTTGGGTACGGGGGGCCCCCATGAGTGAGGGGGGGCCCCCCAGAGTACTGGGGGGCCCCTCTGGGGGTCCCCGGAGCTGCGGATGCTTCCCAGAAGAACCTGTTTTTCGTTGCGTTTTTGATGTTTGTTTGCTTTTTAATTTTGAAGAGCTGGGAAGCTAATGATCCGCTTTACTTGAGTGCTGATGAGGTGTACATACACCGCAGAGGATGGGGTGTATGTACACCCCGGAGGGTGAGGTGTACGTACACCCCAGAGGCCGCTAAGACGTGCTTTTTTGGACTCAGCCAAATTTAACAATGGGAAATTTTGGAGGACTTCATTTGCATGCATTCAGGTTTATGTAGCCCTAGAAGTCCATATATATTAATAGTTCTATTAATCTAAATATAGTATTTATCAATCTTTATTGTATATATACATATATCTTTATCATATATATATATACATATATATATCTTCATATATATGCATATATATATATAAAGATATATATATATATATATATATATATATGCATATATATATATATAGTTTAGGTGTGCAGTCAGGTATTTAAAGCTAGATAGGGGTATACTTTGAATTATCCAAATCGAGGAATTTAAAAATAATATTTCTCATTTACATTTATATTACACTTATATTTATATTTATATTTAATATTTATATTTATATTTGTACATATTTTGTTTTATATTTATTTAGATACCTGCTGGTGGCTGCAGTCTCGCATGGGGAAAGCAAATGCTGCCGCCAGTCAAAACCCTGGACCCTAAACCCTAAACCCCAAACCCTAAAAATATAAATGGGGGTTTGGCGTTTCACCGTCAGCTTCGGTTCGAGAGGGGGCTCCAAAACCCTATCCCTGAAGCCCGGTCCGCAAACCCTAAACCCTAAACCCTCAAAATGATAGCCTGAACCCTATAAACCCTAGTTCCAGAGATTACCAGGCTCCCGCCTCGAAACCCGAGCCCTACTCGACTTTAAACCCTAAATTAGCGTTTAGAGCCTCGGCTTAGAAGGGCAGAAGCAGCCAATCATTCCCTGGCCTCCTCCATCTAGGGTTTAGGGTTTAGGGTTTTGATCTAAAGTGTAATTGTTTTGATCCTTCATTTCAACTTGGGTTTCTTCTGCGCCGGCGGCTCCTCAACTGCTGCTGCAAAAGGAAAAAACGAAAACTATTTCCTTCAAATGAATTTACTTATTCATTTACTTATTTTAATTAATTAATTAGTTAATTTATTTATTTAAACTAAAAAGCATATTCTTTTTATTTATTGGATTAAACCACGTCAACAAGTTCCCCGCATTCTGGAAAGAAGATGCAACTGAAATTCAAAACGAAATCAAAACAAATAAACATTAAGTATAAATATAAATATAAAATATAAATATAAATATAAAATATAAATATAAATATAAATATAAATATAAATATAAATATAAATATAAAAATAAAACAAATAAATAAAAAATAAAAATATGAATGAAAAAGTTGAACACGAGATATTCAAAGGGCAGCTCCACAGCTGCCGGCAAAGAGACGCGATTAAACTTCATTTCTTTTTTTTTCCTTTTATTTATTTTTATTTTAAAAATACTAAATGAAAAGTTTTCTTTCCATTAAAGAAGAAAACGGCGATTTTTCCTTTCACTGACACGAGAAAATGCACAAGTTTAACGCGCATGCATGCAGTTCAACTTGAATTTATGTTTGTTTCTGCTTTGCATGCATTTATATTTACATTGCCAGAAAGCCAATTAAACAAAAATACATTTAATCGCATTTTAAAATAATTAGAAAGCAGAAGAAAGGACGAAGATCGGACAAATGCGAACTGCATTCAAACTAGAAACCACCGGAATGCAAAAGGACCTTTTCTATTCCGGTGGTTTCTAGTTTGAATGCAGTTAGATGCAAAAGGAACTTCTTTTCTATCTCATCGAGCTCGAGAAGATATTCTAATTTAATTGCATTTACTTTACATTTACTTTGCATTTATTTTGCATTTATTTTGCATTTATTTTACACTTTTCAACAAATTAAGAAAATAAACTTCGAGATCAGCGAGAACTGCGCCTCAAGAAAGCTGCATTCAGGAAGCTGCGCTCCTGGGGCATTCCTTTGCAGGAAAATACAATTTACTTATATTCTTTTTGTTCTTTTCGGCATTTGAAGTTTAATTAATTTCAAATAATTTCATTTTAAACAAATTAAACAAACTTTGCTTTCAATTTAGTTCAAAATTGCTCACTGCTGTACACGCTGTACTGCTGCTTCAAAAAATAAACTGCCTTCCTGTCGCTCAGGCGCCTGCAAACCAAACCCTAAACCCTAAACCCTAATCCCTAAACCCCGAACCCTAAACCCTCGGCTTTCAATTTCTTGTTCTCCTATCTGCCTGGCTAGGCCTAAACCCCAGACCTCAAGACCTAAACCCTCGGTTCTCACTTCCTCTGTTCCGCTACCACCTAGCAAACCCTAAACCCTAAACCCTAAACCCTAAACCCTCGGCTTTCACGTTCTTCGTGCTGCGATCTCCTCAGCAAGCGCCTTGACACGGCAACCCTAACCCCCAAACCCTAAACCCTAAACCCTAAACCCTCACTTTCTTTGTTCTGCGATTTCCTCAACCAGCGTCTTAACATAAGACAGCGGCTGCTGCGTGTGAGCAGCAATTTGCTTCAGCTGAAGTCCAGCAGCTCCTGCTGCTTCGAAAAGTCGAAACAGTTTTACCTTCAAAGCGTCGGAATCCAAGATCACCCCGCGCTTCTCTGAACAGCAGCAGCAGCAGCAGCAGCGTCAGCAGCAGCGTCAGCAGCAGCAGCGGCAGCGGTGGCTTCCCGAGGGTTTAGGGTTTAGGGCGGGCTGCGGGCTAGGGCGGCCACTGCTGGGGTTCAGGCCCCAAGTGCAAGGGTTTAGCGTTTAGGGTTTAGGGTTTGGGGTCTAGGGTTTGGAGGAAATCATTAGTGTTTATTAGAAACCCACGTTTCGCCTTGGCTCTCGAAACAGACTCCAGCCCCCCCCGTTTAGTGTCGTCTGTAGACAAAGAGCTCTTGGGAGTATAAAACTGAAACAACTGAAAGAAAAGAGAAAAAATGAATAAAAATAAAATAACTTAATTAAAATAAAACAATAAATACAAAAAGAATTGCAAATAAACCCCAAATAAGCGGAAGTGGAGTTGAATTTCAAGAAAAAAGAAGAATTCAAGTTCAAGTTCGTTGCAACAAAGAAGAAACAAACGGCAAAAAGGCAGCGAATGCAACTCTAAATCAAATGAAAGAACAGATTTTTGAATTAAAAACAGATAAAGATTTAACAACGAAATTCAAAAATATTCAAAAAATTCAAGTTCGAGCGGGAGAGAAACCGGGCAAAGAAAGCATCAAATTAAACGTTTTTTCCTCTTTTCTTTCGGGATTTAATTCTATTTCAATTGTTAGTTATTATTATTTATCATTTATTAATTCATTTATTTCATTCATTTATTTCTTCTTTTCAGATTTGCAAGAACTCACCGTGTGCAGGCTGTCAAGCCCTGGGTCTCGGCGCATCTCTGTGACGGTGCCTCTGCCTAAAATAAAGACAGAAAAAAACAAATCCAATTCCTAAACCCTAAACCCTAAACCCTAAACCCTAAACCCTAAAAACCCTAGGCCCAAAACCCTAAACCCTTAACCCTGAGCCGTAAGTCGAAAACCCTAAACCCTAAACCCTAAACCCTAAACCCTAAACCCTCCTTTCTCGGTTTACTTTTGCTTTGGTCTTCAGCGATGTGGCGCTCGTGGAGCACCTGCAGCACGCAACAGAAGAGCAAAGTCTTCTATTTGAACAACTTATTTGATTTTACGTTTTTCCATTTACTTTTATTTATTTATTTACTTTTTATTTTTTATTTTTTATTTCTTGTTTCATTTATTTGCTGCTGCTTCCGTCTCGCGCGACCAGCTCCGTGCCAAACAAAGAATCAAACCGCCTGACAAGCCCTAAACCCCAACCCCTAAACCCTAAACCCTAAACCCTAAACCCTAGACCCACCTGCTGGTACCTCTTGTCGAGCTTTGGCTGGAAGTTTGTTCTGTTGTTGATTTCTGCAATTATGTCCAAAACGTGTTTTCCATTTCTTTGCAAAACTACAGAACGATCTGCACTTAAGCAAATCGAGTCCAAGTAGCAGGGGCCCCCAGTCTCGGGGTCCCTCACGATCAGCGTTTGCTGCAGCAGCAAACAGCAGCAGCAGCAGCAGCAGCAAAGCACCTGCTGCAGCAGCAAAGCTCGCCAGCAGTAAGGTTGCTGCTGCTGCAGCAACACCCCGCAGCACTATATCGACTGCTGCAGCGGCAAAACTCAGCAGCAGCAAGCTGCAGCAAGACTCGGTAGCAGCAAATTTACTGATGCTGCAGCAAAGCTCAGCAGCAGCAAATTAACTGCTGCAGCAGCAAAGCTCAGCAGCAGCAAATTAACTGCTGCAGCAACAGCAGCATATTAAATGGTTTTTGGGAAATCTTTAAACATGAACGGCGGTTTCCAGCCCACCCGCCGGCACCCATTTCGTTTCATCTTTTGTTTGTGTTTCAAAATGCTTTTAATTAATTTATATATTTTAATTTCATTTAATTAATTAATTTCATTTAATTAGTTAATTCCCTTTATTGCAACACAAACGCGTTTCCGAAACGCGCACGCCCAGTGCAAACAAGAGCGCGGGAGGCTCTGCCGCTGATCGGAAGCAATTAATGGATTAAATGGGGAATAAATGCATCAATTTGAAAGCAATAATTATATTTAAACATATTTGAATTTAAAATTTGAAAATCTGCGATGAAAAACGAGAAAATGGACTTGTTCAAGTTACCTTTCCATTCTTCTCCGTCAAAACGCCCGCCGTGGCGTCCGCAGGTGAAGAGCGCCACGCCTCAGCAACGAACTTCGGGACCTAAACGAGAAAGAAAATAAAACATTTAAATCAAAATTAAAATTTAATTTTAATTTGAATTTAATTTTAATTTTAATTTTAAATGAAACATTTACAACCAACTCCACTCGTGCAGGCAATAGTGCTCATCAATTTGAACTGCTGCAGCGCATTCAGGTGCGGCTGCTGCTGCTGCTGCTGCTGCGTTCTGTTGCTTCTCATTTCGTTGCTGTTGCTGCTGTTGCTGCTGTTGCTGTTGCTGCTGCAGCTGCCAATGCTGCTTTTCTTCCTGACACATCAAACGGCTCTTTTGCTGCTGCTGTTGCTGCTGCCCCTCCTGCACTTGTTGCTGTTGACTTCCTGTTGCTCCTTCTTCTCGCTGTTGCTGCTGCTGCTGCTGCCAAGGCCCCTGTTGCTGCTGGTGGCGCTGCTGCTGCTGCCAGTACCCCTGTCGCTGCTGTTGGTGCTGTTGCTCGCGTTGCTGCTGCTGTTATCGCTGCTGCTGCTGCTGCTGCTGCCACGCCCCTATAGTTGCTGCTGTTGTTACTGCCGCAGCCCAGTCGCTGATGTTGCTGCTGTTCCTCCTGTTGTTGCTGCCATTGCTGCTTACTGCAGCAGATCCCGTTGCTGCTGTCGCTCCTGCTGCTGCTGCTGCTGCTGTGCAGCAGCAGCAGCAGCACAAGTGATGTTAGAATTGTTTGTGCTGCTTACTTTGATGAGGGAAAGGGCGACGGCTTTGCTTGCGGGCAAAATGCGGCTGGGAGTGAAATCGGCTGGGGCGTAGGAAACCGGAAGCGTTTCTGCAGCAGCTCCGCCTCTTCTGGCCATTTTCATTAAAAAGGGAAATTAAAACCATTAAAATGGCCAAAAAAAGGTATTTAATGGTTTAATTCTTCTTCTGCCGCGCCGAACAGCCGCCCTTCGCCCGGAATTCAAGTTTCAGCTGCTGCGCTGGGCCATGCCGGGGGGGCAAACTCGCAAGCCTGGAGCTGCTTATTGGCATTATTCAGTTCAGTTGAAGAATATATTTAAAGATATTTGCGGAAAAGCAGAAAAAGAATTCGGAAAGAGCCGCCAGCAACGTCTGTAGTGCGGATCACCGCGGCGGCTCGCGGGCGCAGTGCGGGCGGGGAGTTCGCAGGGGAAATAAAATCAATTTCGCAAATTAAATGTATTTGTTGTTCCAATTTGGCGTTTATTTTCAAAATTTTGTCGAAATTCAAGCTTTGCGCCACTGCAGTTTCAGGTGTGAGCCGCAGACCCCACGGGGCTTGCAGCCGATGAGGGAGCCGATCTGCCAATTTGCTGCGGCAGAATGCACTATAAAACACAAAATTGAATTATAAAAGTCATTTCTTACTTTAATAAAGGTATATTAAAAGGGCAATTTGAAATAAATTCGCAGCAGACTGCTTTCGCAGGCAGCTGCCTTCGCTGCAGCAGCAGCAACAATGAATTTGCAAATGCGAACACCGCAGACTAAGGCTAATTCCGAACGTTAATGACTTAAATATATATTTTAACTTCAAAATGAATATTAGAAAGCGAAAGGGTTTTATTTTTAATTCGAAATTGAACTTGAATGGACGAAACTGAGAAGACAGCTGCTGAGTCGATTGACCGCAGCAGCATAACACAACAGCATTGCAGCGAAGAAAGCAGACGGCAAATTCAAAAACAAATGAATAAATAAATAAATAATGAATAAATAAATAAATAAATAAAGAATAAATGAATAAATAAATAAATAATGAATAAATAAATGAATAAATAAACAAATAAATAAATAATTTAATTAATGAACAACTCAGAAAAGAGTTGAAGTGAACAGCGCGCCTCTCGGCCTCAATTTTGGCTGCAGTACTCCACGCCCGCACAGACGCGCAGCAAAGCCCTTCAATTCAAATCAAACAAATATCTTTTAATGTCCTTTTCGATTATTTTTTAATTATCTTTTTAATTATTTTTAATTTACAAAATAAAAACTACTTTTAATTCGGCGACTTGGGAGAAAAAGAGGAAGAAGCAGCAGTTGAACTCCAGCCAAAGGCATGCGCATTCAGCACACTCGAAATGGCCCCAAGACGCCACTGCGCAAACCCTAAACCCTAAACCCTAAACCCTAAACCCTAAACCCTAAACCTCCTTTGTGCTGGCCTCGCTGTCTCAGGCTCCTCGGCTATCCAGCAGAGTCTCAGTTCGCCAGAGTCCCGTAACTGGCAACTTGGATTAAGGATTTATTTATTTGAATTTAAATGCATTGATTTATTTTCTTTTAAATAGATTAAAAGCAGAAAAGAACAAATAAACAAAAAGCGAAAAAGAGGAAAAAGAATGGTCTTTCAATTGGCCTTCACAGTGGAGCAAAATGGAGCCTCTGGGTCGGAAAAAAGTCGGATTTGGTTGAAAATGGATTAAAATTGAAGATTTTTGGATTATTTTGAATTATTTTGAATTCTTTTTTAGAATTCCGGCAAATCTATGCCTTTAAACTGGCTTTTGGCCCCCATTTTCTGCTGCACTGCCTCCAGAGAAACCCCCCGGGAAGCTGCTGCTTCTTCGTGCATGCGCCGCGTTCTTGAGGTGTACGTACACACGAACGCTCGCCGCGCCAAGTAGTAGTTGAACAAATGCTGCCGATCCAGAACTTTCAATCTCTGCAGAAATAAAAGAAAAAACAAAACTTGAAACTAAATCAAAGTTTTCAAATATGGACTTGAAATAAATAAATATTTGAACAAACGAATGAAATCCAAAAAGCAGAAAAGAAGTTCTGGGGACGTGCAAAAAGAGAAAAATCGAAAGTGAAAAAATGAGAAAACAAAAGAAAAAGGGGGAATAAAAAGAAATAAATAAATAAAATGAAAAGAACAAAAAGGAGTAAAAAGAAACAAAAAAGAAATAAAAAAGAAACAAAAAAGATTTCAACAAACCCTTTTGTGCTGCGATCGCGTGCATGCATCCAAGTAGGGCAGCCAGTCTCGTGCTGCTTCCTGCGGCAGCTGCTGCTGCTGCAGCGCGAGGCGCATTGCTGCTGCCAAACTTCGCGGGACTTCTTTCAAAATAAAAGTTTTGTGAAATAATTCATTTAATGGCATTTCCCGCAAACGCAGAGACACATAAGACCGCCAAGACTTCAGTACAGACACCCGGTAGCTGTGACACACCTGAACGCAGCAGCAGCAGCAGCAGCAGCAGCAGCAGCAGAAGCAGCAGCAGCAGAAGCAGAAGGCACAAGTTTTTGAATTTCTGCGTTTTTTCATTTTATTTTTAATTCTTTTTAGTTCTTGAATAAATTAAACTTCAGATCTTTTCCTTTCAGATCTTTTCAATCCTTTTTGATTTGTGAAATGTTTTTTGTCTTTCCAAAAATAAAAATTTTATTTCATTTATTGCCAAACTTCAAAATCACAGAGAGAGGAAGACAGAGAGGCAAAGACACAGCAGCAGGAGCAGGAGCAGCAGCAGCAGCAGAAAAGCGTGCATGCTAGCAGCCACAGCAGCAGCAGCAGTGAAGCACCGCAGCAGCAGAAAGGCAAAAAAGACAGCCATAGGAAACTCATGGAAGCAAAATTAATGCAGACGCAACAACGTACAAATAAGGCAGCAGCAGCAGCAGCAGCAGCAGCAGCATCCCCGCCGAAGGAACAAAAGGCAGTCCAGAGGCGCGAAGCCCACGCACGAAACCAACTCCAAAACGCAAACAGCAGCAGCAGCAGCAGCAGCAGCAGCAGCGGCTGACTTGGAGGGTCTTGACGTGCCCCTTGCGGCCAGTGATGTAGCAGTCAATGAAGACTCTGCTGGGGTCTGCTCCTTGCTGCTGAATTTTGAATTTGAATTTGTTCAAAAGATTAATTAAGCTGCTGCTGCGGTGCAGCGCGAGCGCATGCAGCCAGTCGAGGGCGTCGTGGAGCTGCAGCCCGCGCAGCAGCCGCAGCAGCAGCAGCAGCTGCTTCCGCCCCACACAAATGCTGCTGCTGCTCGCCACCCAAACTCTCCCTTCTCCCTTTTTTGGAAAAGAAATATAACTCAAGTCTTCTCCATATTCCAAGTTCTTGTCTCCGTCATGCAAAAAGCCCCCCCCCCGCCGCCGCCCCCTCACGCTGCTGCTGCTGCTGCTGCTGCTGCTGT